AACGTGTAATGACCAGGAAAAGACCAATAAAGGGCTGTATTACGCAGAGATACAACCTAGGATACACTTCAAGCGTTGGTTCAGCCGGATTATTAACTTGCCACGTCGTTTTTTCACTGTATTGTAAGACTCCGATTTAATCATAACAGGGTCCCATACCACATGTATAAAATCGGTTTTGCCGACCGAAACATCTGCCATTGCGATAAAAGGACAGGAGCCGATGCCGACCACACTTTTCCAGCATGTCCCGCCACTTCAAGAGGAAGAAGGAAACTGTCGACGTTGTGGTCAAGCATGGACTGCTTACAAAAATGTCCCTTCTGCTACAAAGAATGCCTAATTTGGATCTACTGGATGCTAAAAAAGTGACAATCTGGTTTAAAGAATTAATAAACTAAAATCACCGTTCCTTTTCGATTGGCGTGGCGGATGCCGACTAGTAAAGAAAAAAACCTAGGTAATAAACATTTTTAAGTGTCTTATTTTTACAACCAAACCTATTATGCCTGGTAGGAAAAATATGAGTAAACCTAAATACATTAAAATTTAAGAGTGGTGCGTTTATTTTTCCCATCAGTGTAAATCTTGAAATATTGCGCAAATTAAAGTCGACAGTTTAATCAAGTATTTACTAATTTTATTTCTTTATTGTATATTTTATATTAAATAAGAAATAAAGCATCTAATTTATGGAGAAATTACGCGCATTGAATAAAAATTTATATTTATTTATGAACATTTTTCAACAATATGTTCCGTTTTGATTTGTTTTTTCTCCCCGTTAATTTTGACTTAATCTTGGCTTGGATTTGTAAGGTAAATTTAATATTTGGACTTACAGAAGCGTGTTTTTCCCGAATGACTCTGCGACTTGGGTCTGTGGCAAACGGGGCAGGCAGACTGGAAGATAAACTCGTTGGGAAGAGGGCCTAGGCGACGAGAGGGGGTACCCGGGTCCTTCCTACCTTCTCGCTCAGTGGCGTTCCCGAGGGAATGCGAGCACCGTACGCAGACGGCTGGAAAAATTTATTTCGCCCTATTCCCGTATTCATATTTTACGGATGAGAAGTTACGACGAGCATAAAAGACATGCCGTGAATATTTTCTCCCCCGAAGGCTGTCAGTAATCCCAAAAACGCAAAACATCTTGAAAAAATATTGTTTAATATATATACTTTTTCTACAATTGATGGCTTGTATACTGCAGTATTCCAAGAGAAACTAAATATTGTCTTGTTTGATACAATTTTGGAAAAAATTAAGCTTAAAGCTTATAGTGAAATAAAATAAAAATATTTCTCCTATAGCATCTCCAATTTATCATTTATTAATACAACTGTCTATAGATCAGAAGTATGTCATTTCCGCCATCATTGCTCTAGTTTTACTGCAAACAATGCTATCGCATTGATGACACATCGCATTCTCTTTCGATCGAGCAAGGCAACTGGGTTTGCTCTGGAAACTCAAGGGCACACTCCTTAAATGTCCGACAGGTTAGAGTATGGTTCGGATTGTCACACTCTCCTTTGTACAGGGTGGGTAGATGCGTACCTCAGGGCAGCGTCCTCAGCCCACAACTGTACTCCATATATACTGCTGACATCCTTCCCATCCGTACAGACATCTGGTCCATCCCCATTTCTATGAATGGTCATCTGATTTTATTAACTATTGTTGTGTGCCTGAATTGTTTGGTTGATGTTACTTGAATAACTTGAACAATTATGCAAATACACAAATTCACACATAGACTGGTAACTGCCTTACGTTGCACATCCTTCTTAAGTATAGCAACATTTTTTAAATCTGCCTTGGCATTGATTTTCATGGTTCCTACTTTGGTCTAACCCTTTCTTTTGATCTTATTTGTCATTGTATTGTCTGACAAATTATCAATTTCTAAAATATGTTTAACAAGGAAATTATATAGGATAATTAATTTAAATGTGAAAAGTATTATTTCTTTTTCAATGGTGACTGGTGATAATGATATCTATTCTATGCTTGTAAAATTTAATTAAAAGATTAAACAAATTCATCTTTTCCTTATTTGGTGATAAGATTATTGTCAAGAAGAGCTTAGATCTTAATTAAAATGTGAATTTTTTTGTTTCATAAATATATTTGCTTGATCTAGAAAAAATGAGAAAAAACATGTAGCATCTTGTACCGTACATAAACTAAAACTAAATCATTTAAATCAATCAGTAAACTATTTATTTGCTGGTTATATAATTATTCTGAGTAATACCAACCAGAAAAATGTCAAGCCACAACTATTCAGCCTTTTATTTTATTTTATTTTTTTTTTGATTATTTAACTATTCGCTGGCTGCAAAAAAAAAATTTANAGATATAGAGAGAGAGAGAGAGAGAGAAAATTAATAAAACTATTTAATCATAAATAAGATAAAATAACAAACAATTCTTAGGCATTTCAATTTAATAATGGTTTGTGATGATGGATCAGACATCTGGATAATATTTATTGACATATATAACATGGGAAGTTGGGAAGTTTATGGGCCTGCAAATAGCAGCATGTTTGTACTTTGTTCTAGTTTTTCAAGCATGTTTTGCAATCTGCAGCCATTTGAAAGTCTCGATCTGTTACAGACTCTGCTTTTATATAAAATAAGTCAATATCCTAAAATGCTAAAAAATATCTCATTTGTACTCAGGTTGACTACTGAATAGGCATAAAACATACAATGTATATACATCACTACCCTATACAAGACAAATCTGCAGTCACTCATTATGTCACAGTTTATCTAATTGTGCTCACCCCATAACTCTTATAAAACTAAGTCCTCTTCACTCATCTTACTGCTGACTATAAAGCAGACCTTGGTGTTTGGGTGGTTTTGAAAATGAAGGTAGTGCTTATAAGCAAGCATACTGCGTGATCTCCATATTGAAGTGTGGGATGTTCACATCTCTGTGTATATCGCTATCGTGAACATACTAAGGACCATCTATCATATTTCTTAGAACTTTGTTTTGAAACTGTTGTATTATGATTGTATTGCTTCTTTTGGCACACCCCCACATTTGTATATTATAATCCATTTAGGTTTTAATATGTGATTATAAATTATTATTTTATTTTGTATTTATAACTTTTCCAGCAAATCAAGTTCTTTCTTTGTCTCTTTGATATGTGCTTCCCAATTTATTTATTTTTTTTTTTTTATTCATGCCTAAATATTTTAGTGAATTCTGGGAAGGAACTAGTTTAACAATTGGAGATGAGTGATTTGTCTACTAATTTTCTATTTGTGAAAGATTTTTTTATGCAAAGTATGGTTGAGTTGAAAAATTAGAGTAATGAGTGGGTCTCGAACCCACGACATCTGGATCAGTACCCGGTGCTTTTACCACTTGGGCTATCATGACTTCTGTCCTTGAACACCAACTATTCATTTCAACCACTATTATTAATTAACATAATTTTACACCATTGTACAGAACATGAGAGTACTTTTCTGCATAGAGAATTGTGTATAAATATATTTTTAGAAAAGTTGTTGTCATGTCAAACAGTTTATTTCCGTACACACATGCCTGTGTTCTCTCTAAGCGTTTGTCAAAGAGGCCAATTAATTTTTGTATGTTAAGCCTGAAAACGAATAAATATTGAATCGGCCATTGGGAAGGCAGTGAATGAACGAAAACTATTCATTTATGTTTGTCAAGTTTTTTTGACAAGATTCAATATTAGCTTACGGTAATAGAATTTTAAAGGGAACAACTGAGTAAATATGACCAGATGCGCAAGTTAACATGGTCACAACTACAATAAATAGTTCAATGATATGACTATTTCTGGAATTAAGCCTTTTACAAGGAGTCTTTAATATATCCTTGGCTCTAAAGTATCGAAATCAAATTCTACTTTTCTGAATGCCTTTGGTCACATCATTTACACTACCATACCAAATAACACCCTGCGGACTAAAATAACAACAATCACGAAAAGTGCAATTTTTAATCAGTTATTTATTTTACCTGGATGACAGATTTATTTAACAGGCAGCCACACCCATTTTTTATATGTACAAATATTAGAAAAGTAACTGTTTAAAAAGTAGGCTAAAATTTACAATGAAATAATATAATAGTATATTTATATAATTTATAAGGAATAATAATTAAAGTAATGACATTTATAATGACATTAATGATTTAAAAATAAAATTTGACTAAAATATAATATTATATGAAATTAATAATTAAATGTTTTGATAAAAGTAATAATCATAATAATAATAAAAATTAAATCAATATCACATTAATACATTAAAATACACAAATCTACTAATATCCAATGAATTCAGTTCTTCCAATCCAAAGTCCTCAAAATCATAATCAACACTCCCAACTTTTCTCCCAATACCACCCTCCACAACGACCTCAAAATACCCTTTGTAAATAAAATAAATTAATCCCCACCAAATGTTCCACATTCCAATGAAAAACTATCACATCCTAACACATCAGAACGATCCATGTCCAATATATCCATCCCTACAACCCAGTATGGCTATCGAAGCGGAGATGACCTCCTTATGAATAGTTCATAAATTCAGAAAGCTGGGAGAGCAACAATGGATATTTGTAAATTATCAATATTGTATCACATAATATAATGAATATATCAGTACAGATGGTAATATATAATAATTTAAAAACAAAATAAATATTGTAAAAGTTGTAAAGTTCTAAAAGCATGTAAAATTTTCTATGGATCGGTAGAAAAAGTGATCACATTTTTGCAGTTTTTGAGAATATTTTGAAACAATTGAATAAGTGAAAAATTTTAACTAAAAAATTTTTTATTTTTTCAAAAACTTGTACTCAGCAGCTTTTTGAAGTTCAAAAAGCAAATATTGGGCTTTGTTTATTTGATTTTTCTTTCAAAGTGAATTAATGATTGATTAAATTGCATGAGCCATTGTTGCCTATGCCAGAGACAATATTTGTTGAGCTAACGCACTTGTTATAAAGAGTTTCTATTGTAAATTCTTTGGTAGTATTGAGTTCGTCACCAGCCATGTATGAGTTAAGGTGTTGAATTTATTTATTTATTAAAATAAAATAAATACATGTAATTTAATGTAATTTTTTATAGGAATTTTCTCAAAGTGATTTTTGCAATTGTTGCCGTTTTTGTTGTTGGGACAGAATTGAAAAAGTTTACTAAATGCGAACTTGCAAAGGAGCTAACAGAAAAAGGGGCCAACACAAGTGATTTGCCTAAATGTAAGTTGTTTTGAATGTTTTTCTGTTCGATTTGGCATAACTTCCTATGCACTTCGTTTCAATGTTATTGTTTTTAAGGGATTTGCATAGCTGAACAAGCAAGTAACTTGAATTCAAAAAACAGTACTCGTTTTAACACTATGTATTTCGTCGGTTTATACAAGGTATAGTTTACGCTTTATAGTATCATTAAGAGACGGTGATTTATTCTTTGTACTATTTGTACAGATATCGAATGCTCACTGCTCGACGACCAATGAAACTAGTGGAACGTGCAATGTGACGTGCCAAAGTAAGTATCAAGAAGGAATGGCACTGTTCAAAAGGATTAATAAATACTGATTTTATACACAGCTCTCCGTCAAGACGACATTACTGAACAGGTGAAGTGTGCTCTAAAACTGAAGGAAGAGTATGGATTCCAGTATTGGAGTACGATCTGGAACCGAACATGCCAATACAATAATTATACGTTGGATTGCCCCACATCTTAAGGGACAAATATGTCATTTTTGTCTTACAGTAATAACATATCTATGTTTCAACTATGAAGAAAAATATGTAAGCTTATTGCCTGTCAAACTTTGTTTTCTTACAAAAAAGAAAGTTTTTTTACATTTTGTTTTCTTCCATCTGCCATTTCTTCGCACATTAGATAGATAGATGGAAATACACAATTTTGTGCACAGCAATGAAATATATTTATGAAAGTATGTACCATATGGAATTAAATCCATCTGTTGTCGGAGTTCATTGTAAATTGTCACACGATTCAAAATTCAAAATTAAACATAAAACTGTGTTAATAAAAACAGAAAATTTGTGACTTTTTTCATTCAGATTTCTATTTTATATTATTGTGCTATTTACTACGAAAAAGTGTGTACGAAATTAAAAATTAACTTCCTGGACTAAATGGAATCTATATTTCCAAGCATGGTGACCATACTGTATGATAGCCCGGGGATCTGAACCATTCAACAGTTCAATAATTTGGAGTCTTGAGAGAGTGACAAATCTCTCCTAAAATTGAAAATATATATGCATATGATGAACACATGCATACATAAACTGTTAAATTCACTAATTTCATGGTCCGCTTGACCAATTAATATATTACAATTAATTAAGGTTTTTAGTTGAGATAAAAAAGTCATTGGCACAAGCGGGATTCGAACCCACGATCTTCGGCTAGATACGCCACTGCTCTACCACTTGAGTTATCGTGACCTTGATCCACTCAGACACCAACTTCCCATCTCAACCTCACCTTTTGAATTTTCCCTCCTTTTTGCCATTTTTCAATGTCTTGTAATCGCATTGGATTCTCGAAGACAAATGAAATGGCCACGGAGAGCTTTAGTGAAGTATACTTCATTTTCAGTCATTAAATTCACTAATTTTGTGGTCCGCTTGACCAATTAATATATTACAATTAATTAGGGTTTTTAGTTGAGATAAAAAAGTCAATGGCACGAGCGGGATTCGAACCCACAATCTTTGGCTAGATACGCTGCTGCTCTACCACTTGAGCTATCGTGACCTCGATCCACTAGGACACCAACTTCCCATCTCAACCCCACCTTTTGAATTTTCGCTCCTTTTTGCCATTTTTCAACTATAATAAATAAACTGTTAAGTTGAGAAAAAAAATCAACAAAATAAATCACTCAAAGCAGACAGTATTTTGTCAAATTAATCAACTAAAAAAGTTAACTAAAAGTAAATAAAGTACTTCATGTCTTACAGGAGGGCATAACATCTGCTTCAATTCATTCTTTGATCAAATATACCTAATCTTTCTCCTTCTTTCTATTTAGTTTACAGATCGAAGATAAATCAAACCTGTTCAAAACACATTTAGAATCAACCTTTTTTCCTCATTAAGATTTAAATGATACACATGCGCTACAAGTAAGGCATAAACCTTGGTATAGCACTTCCGCACACCTTATAAATGAAGATGTTGTCCTTTGTCTTGTTACAGCAGCGCAGGGAAAGATCAAACTTAAATATCTACCTACTTAAAAACATGGTGAATTATCTGACAGTTCAGTCAGGACACTAATCAGAGAATGGATTAATAACAAGTCTTCAATTCAGTTTAGAAGGATTTTTTGAAATTCCGTCCCTAAGGGGATCATATGGACATTTTTCTACCAAGTATAGACAGAAGCAAACTGAATAATTTGAGAAATGAGATATTATTGTAGTAGAAAACCATACTAGTGCATCGCACTAGAAAGGTACATTAGAGTCCTTAAAAGCTAGTGATTACATATCTGTGTAAGCTAATAATTTTTATTTGTCTGTTCAAATCCAATTTATTTTGTTTGTTTGCAGTTACTTATTTATATATTGCTTTTCAAACTGTTAAAAAGAATTGTATTTCGAATTATGTTTTAAATTGAAATGATAAGTACCGGACATCCCCCCTCCATATATATGTAATATTTACAATAATACAGTAAAAAAATTCTATTCTACTCCATAGCAAGTTAATAATATTAAAAAAATAGAGAAAAATAAAATACAATTGATTAAATTATTTTGTCCAATCCCTTTCTTTTTCAGCTCCTCTGCAAATTTTTATTTAGGTACTTCACTTCTGTTTGAACATCAAGAACAGCAACAATCATCAAAAATTCTTTGAGAATTTCCCTGTATGGATTTAGTTTGCGCCCTCTGCCATGCACCAGGAACACCCACAGGTCTGACTATACTATCGAAAATGTGCCCAGTCGTTATTTTATTCTTACATAAAAGGTCTGACCTATGAGGTCGTTTTCTGGCCGGACAGTGTCCGTGAGTGACCTCTGACAAGTGTGTTTCCTTTTTTGACCCATTCTCCGAGTACTAGGGACCAATGACTTTCTTTACCTGTCACCTTATTTTTTTTCTTGTAAGGTTCATTGTACATTACATTTATCGTGGAACTCCATTATCAAAGGTTGAATATCAATAAAGTTCCAACTGTTTATTAGTTAATTCAGAAAATTTTCAATTATATTACAAGCATTATTAATGACATTTAATGAAAAGAAAATAATATAAACAAGTTGACATGAGGGTGAACTCTGTTTTTTGTTATTCCATATATTGTTAACAAAAAACAAGAGTACCCTCTCATGTTATGATTTTTTGAAATTCCATCCATTCGGAGATCATATGGACAATTTTTTACCGTGTGTAGACAACAAGAGAAGAATTTGTGAAACACAACATTATATTAGAAAGCCATACTAGCACTCTGCATCACTTTACAAAGGTACTTATTCAGATATCGTGAGATGCGTTCGGGTGTAATCTCACGATATCTGAATAACTATCGATTAACAGTCACTAATCTCTACACATTTTTACAAAGGTACATTGAAACTGTGTCCAGCATGGATGAAGCGTATAAGCTAGTATTATCATAATAATCAGGAGCTAGTATTATAATAATAAGGAGAAATCATCAAGCTAAACAGTTTAAAGGTGATCTGTTTAAAAACAAAAACTTGGATCTGGGGGTGCCATAGCAAAACAAATTTAAAATAAACTTAAAAATATGACAAATAAAACACTAACAATAGGACGATATTGACACTAATAACCATCTAAGACCAGTGATGTGGCGAGCACCGTGTATTGCAAGGGTGTGTCCATTTCATAATTGTTCCCAGCATACTGTGGTGTTTATACAGCATAATTGTATGCTTGCATGGGCTTGAGGTAATTCAAATTCATAGTGGCTCTGCTTACCTGGTCTGCACTGATGCCCTCACTGCAGTAACTGCTGTATGTGACAGGTCCTCCTCTCATTGTGCTCTTGGAAGAGATGCCACAAGCTGGAGCGCTTCGGAAAAATGATAGTTGTCTGGGTACCTGGACACATAATGGAGGGTAGCAAAAAGGCGGCTAAGGCCAGGATGACCAACATTCTGACCTAACCACGGCCACCTAATGACCTTTATTTAAAAGTAAAAATGCAATAAAAAAAAATCATTGTTCCTGCCAATTACGCGCGATGTTTTTTAGTCTCGTTTTGCGCCCTTAAAATCTTATTTGCTCCTCCTTCAACCCCACTCCGTTTTTTCATTCCCTAGTTCTACCCGGTTTTTAGTATCGTTTTTGCCTCGGCGTGTTAAGCGTTGTTCGTTTTTGTTTCCGAATGCTTCTATTAAGTACTTTTTTTGCCTCCGTATGAAAACCATTGTTCGTTTTGTTTCCAATTAAGTATCATTTTTGCCTCAGTACATGAAACTATTAGTTTTGCTTCCAACAGTGATCATTTTGCTTCCGATCAGACCATACATAGTCCTTGTTCTTCGGACGTATTTGCCTCCAACATATTTTTTTTTTTCGAAATAGCTTTCTTAACTACTAGTTTTCCTTGATTACAATTTCTATTTCGTTATTTCTATCGTTTTACTTTCGCGAAAATCCCGCCAAATAATATTTTCGAGAGAGGTAACGTGAGTGCCGTATCAAGCGCGTACAGCTCATCAGTCATCACGCCGGGAGACTGCGCAGACACTCAGCTTGGTGAGTACTCTAATTTTTTAAAATTTTGCCATTTTTCTTTTAAATACTTTAATTAGTTTTTGTGACCCATCAGCCCACATNTATATATATATATTTTAATCCTCCTGCCCAGAATAACGTTTTATTTGGGAGGAAACTTCATCCTTTTTTTTAAACAGCACAGTCTAGTACAGCCATTACACCCCTTACAACCGGTTTCCTACCATCCTCTCTTATTCGAAACAATGTCAAAATCTGATGCGAAAATGTCAAAAGAAACGATATCTGAAAAACTAAATCGGATTTATATAAATGTTAAATATTATAAGTCGAGCAGCTTTATTTACTGGAAGCGTACACTGGGTTGCTGTCCAGATGCGAGGGCAATTGATGGTGCCTGGAGTAGGATGGGCGGGCACGGTTCAGGGTGAATTCGAATTTATGGATTTGGTAGTCAACATCAATGCAGTTGAAATTAAATTTCATAACGAACCCTTTCGATCTGTAACCATACCCAATGCTGTTCCCATTGAATCTGCCGCCTCAAGCTCTGAGCTTTTAATACCCAAAATTTCGTTACGTTACCTTTTGACGGCACTTGCACGGTTGGCTCAAATTCATACCGCTGTTCAGCTGGTACACAATGATCATCACATCTCTCCTGCAAGAAGATTTCAATATTTAAAATTGTCACTTTGGGTTATCATTTTGGGGGCGTCGGTGGCCGCAACGGTTTAGGCGTTAGACACGGCGTTCATCACCGTAAGGTAAAGGTCTCGGGTTCGAATCCAGCGGCCGATTCGACGTTTGAGGCTTCCAACTCTCCCCAGAAAATTATACCCTATGCTTCGTAAACTTTTTAGCCAGCAGACACCTTTCACAGAACAAAATCCTGGGCGGACCTCTCTCATTTAAGTATTTAAAATTAGATATTTATAGTTTAAGTATTAAATTAAAGTTTTATAAATTAGCCAGTCCATTACTGATTCCTAATTAGCTGATGGAAGGATTCTAGATTGACATATTAACTTTATATACAAAATCTGCTCCACAAAAATCAAATTGGACAGAACAGAATTAATGAGAATAGTAAGGTTGTTTTAACCGTTACAATTTGGATATGTTGAGTTTATTTTTGATAGCTGGAGACGGATGTCTGATTCAGCTTGTAGACAGCATCGGTATCTAGTTACAATAGAATAGAAATTGTTTTAGTGGTCTTGTTGATCATGTTAATCATTTCAATTAATTATTCTTTTTATGTAAGGTCTCCGTTAAGATGAAAATGTTAGTGTCATGAGCGGGATTCGAACCCTCGACCTTGAGCTGTCGTGACTTCAGGTGATTAGAGCAGAGGCGTATTGAGCCGAAGGTTGTGGGTTCGAATCCCGCTCGTGTCACTAACTTATTCATCTCAACTAAGACCTTACATAAAAATAATAATTAATTGAAATTGTTTATTGTATTATAGAAAGTATTACAAACACAAGGGGGTGATGTCAGGCACTTATCATTATAGTTTAAAACATAATTTCAAACTTCTTAACATTTTTAAAAACAATACATAAATAAGTAACTGCAAACAAATAAAAGAAATTGGATTTGAACATATAAATAAAATGATTAGCTTGAACAAATATGTAATTACTTTTAAACACTATACTAACTACACATATCTCTGTTTAGTTACTATAAAAAAGTGTGTTATTCTGATCACAAAAGCTCTCAACCTTAAAACTGAAGAAAAAAATCGAAATAAATCATTTGCTTTTTGATGGTTTTCATCAAAATTTAATATATTTTCTATTTTTTTTATAATTAAACTGTGCATATTTAAATGGCTTATTAAAAGGTTGTGTATTGAACAATCAAAAATGGTGCAATGTTTCTTTAACATGTCATAACTAAATAAATGTCATTTTTATTTTATAACTTCCATTTTAGAATATTTTTAATGCTTCACAATTAGTTAGTCTTAACTAAAATAGTAACCTTATTTTTTTAATGGCTAAAGTAAAAAAAAATGTTGGTCAGCACAAGCTAAACTAGTTATTGTTGGGTTGGCCCTTGCAAAACTATTTGCCATGAGTTTTGACAAACATTTTATCCTCATTAAAAAAAATTACACAAGTGAAAGCGTTCCCTGTTCAAACCTACAATAAGGGCTATGCTTTCTATCTGTGACACAGTGTGATAACCGACGTCAGGATTATGGGGTGGAGACTGGGGTAGAAGTAAACTTACACGGGCAGAGGAAAAAATTAACTTTTGTATTAAGAAATTAATAGCTATAGGAGTGGAGGGCTGATGGAAAACAGACTCGTCAAATATTACAATCATTCGTATTATATACCCTGGTGGGAGGACTAGGAGGGAATTAGCAATGGTGGGAGTGAAGGGTGTTGGTAATGTCTTATCTTGGGAGTCGATACAAGGGAGGAAAGCTTTTAAAATAAAATATTTATGAATAATTGGAATAAGGGATATTACAACAGGTCCAAAAACTATTCTATAAACATAGGATTGTACACTCTACTTAGCCCTGAGAAGGACAAAATGCAAGACATTTACCTAGCATCAACAGACGGCCGCAGTCATCTCCTTCCCAGCATTGGAACAAGACTGACTCAGCGCCCTCCATGCGGAATGAAATCCGTCTTTCCTCCCTGCCAGTCTATACACCATTTCTTTAACTTTAAATTTAATTAAAAACTAATCCTCTCCCATATACTACACTATCCCCTCGACAATTAAAGTTGGCCGACCAGGCCCAACTTTACACAACTTTAGTCTACAATACACTATACATTATCATTTATGAACTAGCATCACTTTTTGGGTTACTATTGGTCTTCTTCCCAGGGAGCCTCCTGCCTGAACTGGTACGTTTTGCTGCCGTCGAAGTTAGAGTTGTTACCTCTTCTTTCTGCATTTTCCTCTTTCCTGCGGAGCAACTCCACCTTCAGAACCCTCCCCCTAGGACTGCCAGAATCGCCACTGCCACCCAGTGTTGGGCAAAAATTAGTCATGTCTAATGATTAATGATTGATCATTCAGACTGTTAGTCATGAACAGTAATTAAATAGGCATGACTAATTTAGTCACAATTTAGTTAGTCATGACTAAATTTCGATAAATCATGTTCAAATGGGTGCTCAAAAAGTGAAAAATACACTTCATCACTTTTAAAAAAATTTCTAACAGAAATTTATTTCATCAAAGCAAAAATCAATCTTCCAATTATAAGTAAAACTACGTCATTATGAAAAGCCAAAAAATAATGATAAATAATAATAATAATAATGATAAAATAAAATAAAAAATCCTAGAACAAGCTACGCTTTGAAAAGTAAATATGTTTACATAACCAATCAATGGAAAAAATATTTCTTTGAATTAAAATTTATTCCACTTGAAAGGAGAGATTTCTACATTATTTGGAAAATACATCATCTAGGGGTCTTGATTATAACAAAACAGACATGTACAATAATTATGTAACTTTGGTTTTCGTTTATGATAACACTTTTTGAAGGTTGACCTTGAGCACAACTCTCAACTCAAAATTTGTATCCGGAATCTGTTGGATTTTAGTAAGTTGGTCATTGTAGCCAGAGTTGGGCAAAATCTAACTAATTCAATCATGATTAAACTTCAATCAAAATTCTTAATCATGATTGAATTAGTTAGATTTTGCCCAACTCTGCTGCCACCCTTGCTGCTATACTCCATCCCTTGGCAGTATATCTTCTGGCCCGGGTTGCTTGGACATGTTAACCATTGGGGGTCGCAATGTCTTTAGACAATGAGGTTCTTTAATGTGCACACCTGGCACATTGTGATAACCAACGTCAGGATTATGGGGTGGAGACTGGAGTAGACGTAGACTTACAGGAAAAATTAACTTCTGTATTAAAAAATTAATAACTACAGGAGTGGAGGGCTTACGGGAAACAGACTCGTCAAATATTACAATCAGTCCTATTATATACCCTGGTGGGAGGTCTAGGAGGGATTTAACAATGGTGGGAGTGAAGGGTGTTGGTAAAGTCTTATCTTGGGAAGTCGGTACAAGGGGGAAAACTTTTAAAATAAAATATTTAGGAATAATTGGAATAAGGGATATTACAATATATCACATGTTTAGTTTCTTAAGTTAGGAGGACTCATCTCCGCTCATGGCTGATGTTGAGGTTCGGTGTAGAAGCCACCAAATTCACAGACTAATCAAACAGACATGCTGACTTCTCCCGCTTGCCCTGTCCAAAGGGGTGGGTTAACATTGGGCACTCAACCATGTGCTGCATGCACGTAAAGGGATACCTGAAATGGCTGAAATGCATCCTAACGTGCTCCCTAGGTAGGGATGACAACTCTATCTCCCAGAGTGTAGGGGCCCTGCCAGCATTGAAACTTCCGGATACGCTCCGGCCACGATTTGTTAAAGTTTAATTTCTAACCACCCCCTGGAGGAGTGCCGTCAATAAAGGAAGCCCATGCGGGCACCACTTAACAACAGCCTTTCTCTAGGTACCTGCCAGGGGTCTCACCTATGGCCAACGACGAATCCATTCCCACATAGCCACACTACAGGGCTTGTAACTGTGCTACTCGTTGTACAGCTGGTTATGCATCCTCCCCCATCTATGCAGACAGACTCTGGAACCCTAACCAATGTGTGCCGCTGATCAAGCACCCGCCGTCCAAAGCCAGCTCTCAAGCCAACAACTCCCTTAACGCATTTCGAGGGACTAGGTAGGTGTACACATGCTATATTCGTCCTTAGTCCTATCATCCAAATGCAATCAGTGGGTGCTTAAGGTGATCATGCACACCAGGAAACACGATTACAGCTTTTCCTTTAGAAAGTGCGTCATGTTCTCAAGGCTACACCATTATTTTGTACCTGGAAACCCCCTTGGCAACCAAGGGTCTGTTGGAGTCCCCTAGGAGCACCCACTGTACAGTTCCGGGAATTGGATTGACAGAAAAGGATGCTCCGAGGCCCAGGCTCACCTTTGTAGAATATACCCACTCCTCTAACACAAATCTACCGCTCATTGTTACTGTGGTAGCTTGGGTAGGAGCATGTCCAAAGCCATGAAGTCAATGGGCCTATACTTGTTTAGTTTTCCTCTGTTGTGGTGGAGTAAATCGCTGCTGCATCTTTCTGTTTGGCTAGGGTGTATAATTGCTATTTACATGTTACAAACTGGTTGGAAAAACATGTACAGATGGTACAGTGTGGGGACACATATCTACTGCGCAATTAGCCTTCATTGATCCTTAATTACCTCTATATTTTAAAACAAATATTCATCTTAACAATAAGAAAAAATAATAATAGGAAGGCGTGTAAAAAAATTAAACAAATAGTGTTTTGGTAGTTGTTTTTTAATGTTCTAATAAACTAATGTTTCACTGATACAAAATAAAATTTTCCTTTTTAAAATAATGGTGAGATTCAATTTTGAATATTTCATTAACATTAATAGAACAAATATCCATCATGAGTATTACATTGATTTTTTCTAAATATATATTTTATTTTTACAGCCTCGCTAAGAAAAATTATTTCTTATAAACACGTTTTGTTTTTGTTCATTGTTTAAAAATACTTTACATTATACATTTTATATAAATCACAAATTCAATATATATATTATATGATAGTCATTGTTAATAAAGATTTTATTATGAGAAAGGAAAAAATAAAAATAAAATAATATTTTTAAAATGGGTTACAACTTTTGGAAAGAGTTGTCATATTGACTCCTTTCATACTTTGCATTACGGTAACAGGTGTAGACTACCAAGAAAGCATAAGCCGGAACAACTGAAAATAAAAAAATAACATTGATTAGTTTTGAATGTTAATTTTTGAAATTATATGTTCTCGTTAAGATTTATCGTTCCTGATCATCCTGGTTCACCTGCATGTTGTCAAGCATGTTTCCTCTTTGGCATGTTCTATTGTTATAGAAACATTGTAAAAAAAAAGGCCGACAATGACAACCATCATATGATCAGGGATCATTGATAATGTTATTTTTAATGGACTTACCGACAGAGAAGAAAAGGATGCAAGTGATGGCCGCTTTAGTGTATAAGTCTGTCAAGAAATGCCCATCGGCTGACACTTTGGAAAATGGCATGATGATGAGCCAAAAGACAAACGTGAGGAAGGTGAGGATGCAGGACTTGGCATCCAGGACGAGCCATGGCAGCATAAGGCAGCCGTTTTTCTGTTGGCAAAAAAGAAAAAATGAAAAATAGAATGAAAAATTCCATAAATTTTTCTTCTTCATACCTTGTGAATACCGCAGATCAGCATAGTAGCAGCAATGACACTGATGAGTCCTGACAAGATGAGAAAAAGAACAGTCCCTTCCATAGCATTTCTCACTGAAATTAAAAAAAACAGAAAATTATTTTAAGAAAGAAAATAAAAACACTGTGAGAAAATTTTTAATTACATACCAAACTCCTCATTGTCACTATGGCCGATTGGTGAAACAGATTCGTTGCCGTAAATTTTCTGTTCTGTCTCGTTTGTCAGCCAATCGATGAGCTTGTTCTCTTGATCAGTGGACATTTCTAAGTACATGCCTGTGTAAATAATTACAGGCAGCAAGGTAAACAAGGAATTTATCTGAAGAAATAGAGAGAAAATCGTCATAATTTAATATCACAATAGTAGATATAATGGATCATACCAAACACAACCATCCTATGATTAAAGCGCCTGTCCTGACGGACATGCCGCACAAGAATTCTTTCAATACTGGCAACGCCATTTTGATTATACCTGAAACATAAAACATTAAAAGTCAACAAAGAAATTAATATATTTCAAAAATCGGTCATTTTTAAGTTGTAGGTTCACTAAGTTTTTCCTTAATTTTGGTGAATTTTGCGATTGTGATATTACACAATAAAAGGCATTATTAAAAAAACATGATTTAATCAACTAAACATTACTGATAAAAATGAACTCTTCAAGGTGAATTAATGACACAATGGACTTTCCCAGTCATTATTTGATAATATTTAACCTGGCCGATGATTTCACGATGAATTAGACAATTTCTTCCGATAAGTTTTCAGATTATATTTAAAACCTATTTATACCGGTTATTTACAAAACAGAAAACATTTTTATTTATTTACTTTTTATTACATTTATTTGTTATTTAGAACTACATACGAATATTGCATTATGTGATGAATTGTTGTTTGAGTCACTTGTAGAAGTTGCTCTTTACATTGAAACTTTGTCATACTTGTCTCACTGAGGTCGTCTCAGGGTGACTTTTGTTTCAGTCATCTTGGAGGATTTTCTGGTAGGGCTGGAAGTGATAACTACTAGTAGACTATTGTGGATGCTATGGGATTGATTAATTTTTTTATAGAAATGATGTCATTTACAAACGGGATGTTTAGGTTGTTATAAATACATAAAAAAGAGCATTTATAATTTGATGGAGAATTTTGGACTGAATCGATTGGAGACGTTGGCAATTGGAATCCTATTATCCTTATGAGACCTTATGCCTTAATAAGACCCTACATCCTTAATAAGACATCCTTATGCCCAGAGAGGTCTTATTATTATCTTGCAAATTAAAAGTTTTGTTTTCAATGTCAAATTTTAATCATTAGTATGGGGATTCCAGGTCAGTCATTTATCCATGAAAAGATAATAAATAAGGTTAGTGGTTGGCAATGGGGTTCCGTTTATACACGGGGGATTGATACATTTATGCAGGGTAAAATCTGAAAATCTGCACACCTTTCCATCAGGCTCATTTTCATTCTCCACTTTATGAACCATACTGTTAATTCATCCATGTGTTTTAAGTGTTGAGTGTTTATGTAGGGGTCAACAATTACGTGTAAGAACGTATTTTAATGTATATTAACATGTGAAGGAATATATTGAAAATGCAGTGTATATTGAAAATAAAAAATGGGCCGAGTATGCTTCCCGAGGAACACCTACTCTAACGCGAACATAAAGTGAAAATTCAATCCTCAAAACTAGCCGCCAAATAAGATCTCATGTTCTTCATTTTCCTAAGCAGGCCCGAGTGCCAGACTCGATCGAAGGCCGGTTCAAAATCAAGAAAGATACCAAAGAAATGCTTTTCTGTTCAAGGAAAGAGGCTATATTTTCAGCAACACGATGCACTTGTTGAGTTATCAAATTAAATCCAAATTGATCGGGAATAATATTAGAATTTTTATTTATGGGCAATAATTTTCGGAGTTATTCTAGAATTTTTGAATAGATAGGAAACAAATGGACAGATAGTAATTAGGAAGATCAGAAGATTTATTTGGCTTATGAATAATTTTAATTATTAAAAACTTCCATTACAATGGAAAATATATAGTTCTGAACACAAAGTGGTATAGGTATGTTGAGATTACGCGGGACAAATATGAAAAAAAAAGATATACTGTCTTGGGAATTTCAGATTTCAGATATCCAAGGACATTTGTTAAATTTAATTTTACAATCATGCTGATAAATTTCTTTTTATTTAATAATGGTGACATTAGAGTTGGGATTTCCTTATAATACTGTTAAAATAATGCAATAAGCAGATCTAACCAACATCATATTGATTCCCTTTGAGCATTTAAACAATATACATATTAATAAAACGTTTTTCCGATATTTAATTAAATAATGCTTTCTTCTGCATTCTCGATTACATAAATTGAAAGAATATTGAATATACATTAGATAACCGATTAAAGAAGTACAGTTTGATCAATTAGCTTTTCAAAATGCCCTACATAGACATACTGGTTGTTTTGAAATTGTTCTTCAATCCGAAAGTAGTTTCAATATTCCCCTTTTTTTTCGGCACATCGGCACCAGACACGGAAAACAAGAGGGTTTTGAACCGAAAAACACTTCCGCGTTCGGCGATATTAGGTAATACGTACAAAAAGTACCTTTTGTCGCCCTCCTCACAGGTGGGATTCACAGCCGGATATTATGCAAACGGGTCACCACTGCCGATAATTACAAACGGAAGCGGTTTATCTGGCATGCTACCGAATAAAATTGTTCCCCGTTGTTACATCCGATACCAGGCTGTCAGCGAAAAAATCAACCTAAGTCACGCTGGAGATTTTCGCAATGACATATCCAAAGAGATATAAGAGTATAACAAAGAAAGATTTTGGATTAGGTTAGGTTATTAGCAGCAGGCAACATTACCACCTTACGCACGGCGACCAATTTTGGTCTATTGTGCAACTCCATTATTATCTAGAACTTTACGTTACGCTGGTACTAGAACAAAGGGGATTTAAATACAGTGAGATGTAACAATAACGGGGTGTAGTACAGGGATATATTCCAGCTTTGAACATCTTATTGTTGTACACTCAATATTATGGAATCATACAATGACACACTCTAGCACTAACGTGAACCAAGTCAAAGATGCTAAATTAAGTTGCGTCGAAAGCCTTATCACTAACATGACAAGCCCATTGGCTATATTTCTATATGAACAGAAGATAACACGGATAAGTAACGAATATGGTAGGTAACGCTTTAACGCCAACGTTGTTAGGTTAATTCGTCAGATATTCCCTTTTGTATTTTTTATAGAGGGATCTGAGAATATCAACTTCGTAAAGTGATCTGTAAATATCATCTTCGTAAAGTGACTATCTTAAAGATTCTGAAATTTTTTCTGTCTGCAAGAGAGGTGTTGAACCTGTACCTTGGTTGTTTCCGATCATACCATCTTTTTTTTGTTTACTTTTCCCAACCGATGGTTTAGTCTGTCAGAAGCGTTTCTGCTTTTCGCTATCTTTAACGGTATCAGCAGATCTGACATCAAAATTCTAAGATTATACGAATAGTTTTTATATGTAATACAAACAATTACCCAGTATAGTGAGATTAATTCAAGATGATTTTTAGGGCACGTTAGTAGGAAGTCTTTCAGGGTGACATCAACCATGTTAGGCGAATATTTCAAAGATTCTAAGGTTATATTCAATAGCTTCCTTTACATTAATTACCACGTCCAATGATGTTTCGTCAAGTTGTGATGCCACATTAATACGGAGCCCTTCAAGAGGGCATGATATCACCAACGATTTTATTATGTACCAAATTCCAAAGACATCGTACAGTGTATTTTAAGTCTTAATATTGCTTATCATATCAAAAACCAAATTCAGTGAGTTTTCGAGAGGTCAAACACCATGCCATAAGGAGTCTTCCTAGGAGACATACTAACATCAGCTTTGTTATAATTTACTACGTGAAGGATTCTAAATGATTTATTTGATAGTTTGCTAATGTTCTTTATATCAATGACCATACCCAACGAGGTTATCTATGTTATATTATTTCAATCACTGCTTAGGATTGAATCGGGTGACATTCCTACACCACCATTTTTCTAGTTTACCAAGCCTAACTTCAAATATTGTAAAAACATAGTATTGTGTAGATTTTAATATTGTTCTTGTTGTTAACATCAGTGATCAGTTCACTGAGGTTATCGCAAGAATGTTTTTTTCCTATGTGAAGGTCTTCCTAGGAAACAAGATCAACATTTTTATAAATTATTACGTGAAGGATATACTAATATATATAATATACTAAGGGATATATTTCATAGTTTGCTAATGTTTTTTTCATTAATGATCCAATGAAGTTAACGACGGAATATCGTTTTAATTGTCGCTTTAATTGGAAGTCTTTCAGATTAGAATACCTGTGTGTTTTGCGTTTGTCAAGCCTAACATTAGAACATTGGTTTTATTCTGGTTCTTTTTATCAACGACTATGTGAGGCTATCGCAATCTTCATTATTGTAATCATTAATAGGGGGTCATTCAGGGATACTCTTTTTCGCTCACGTTGGTTTTCATGTTTACGTAAAAATGAGACATGCCACCTACATATGAATAAAGATTTAACAAATAGCGGCTTTTTTATTGAACAAAGTTGGTTTATGATATTAAGCTGCGAGAAATAGTGAAAATATGACTAAGGGAAAAATTAAAAAAGAGCAGCGCGAATTCACGATGATTGGGCATATCCACGCAGGCCGACAAAACAAGAATGAGTAGGAAATATAACACACAAAAAAAAACTGTTCCACCGTGAGGATATCTAGGCCAAAATAGATGCCGTAACTATGAAAGCATTGGGCATTATCTACAACAAAAAGGTAATACATAATAGACGCTGGAAAAATACAGAAAGCGCTGTATAAATTTGTAAAAATGAATATGTGTAACAGTTTTACAAGTGTGAATATAGTTTCGGTTTGCTTTTGAAGGAAATAAAGCAAGGACGGGAGGAAAAAACTTGGAGAGAAGGTTACTACGTAGGAATATTATTTAAGTGGAAAATGTTTATATTTTACATACTAAATAAAACGAAAATTAACTTGTTAGGGGACTTTGTGCACTTTGAGAGGCAGATATAATTATATCTTTCGAAAGACTGGTTAACCTAGTCTGGCAACAATGGAGATTCGTTTTGGTTTTTCAGATGCCTTTATTTTCATGCGATCCACACTCCGCGTTTCGTCCTTGGGGCCCTGTTCGCTCAATTTCCATGCCTTCTTTCCTTTTTATCCTGGCTCTTTACGAGTGGGACACAGAATTTGCAAGGCCGGAGGTATTTTCGAACCGGCTTTTACAACACGATCCATCACAAACAGCCCGGTCATTCGTGAATCAATCTTCTAGATAAATTATAGATTTGTAGACCTTTTTACTTTTCAGTACATTAAAATGTAGTAATAACATGCGAGC